CAGAGTCTGCAATTTGAAAGTCAGTCCTAGTAGGAACAAGCTTTCTTCCAAATCAAATTCACATTGCCTGCCACATTGCATAGTGTTTCTCATGTTATTCAACAGGCACTTAATTACAACCTCACAAAACATATATATTTACAGCATGCTCCATGGCATATAAATAAATCTTCTATTCATACAATTAAAATAAAACACACTTTATTTCAGTCAACTAAAACCATGCTTTGTTAAAAGGCATGCATATAAGAACACATAAGACAAATTCCATATTTAAGGGGTTTAACTAAATTTTCAAATAATCAAACCATGATATAGAGATTAAAAAGCAAATTTTTTGTCAATCTCTATGTAATGCATAATGCTGATAACGACATGTCATGAAAGTTACAGAAAATATGAGGAGTTGCCAACATAGTATATGACATAAGGGTAATATGCATTTTTGTGGTTTAGTAAAGCAAAACTATTCAGACAAGCGTAAGAGGAAATAGTTATGAAGTTAAGCTAGAATTGTTGACCACATTGCGTTGAACACACGAGATAAGGGCCACCATGTGAGAATAGCATGGGAAACAATGCTAGCAGATTGAACTGGTGTGATTTAGGAAATAAAAGTATAGAAAAATAAAAGCATGCTAGACAAACACTAAAAGGATTAACCACAGGAGAGTTTCCTGATATATGTGTAGGTAAAGAAAATAACGGTAGAGTTTTTTGCTAGTCATCTAACCAGCTAGAGTCTCAGAACTGTTGGTATGTCGGAGGAATAAGTCACCCTATGCCCAACCTATTTAGAAGTGATATCACTGAGTAGAAGGCCTGGTATGGGACATCACACCCACCTTGAGGTAGAACATGAGCAATCACCACAGTTCCACGGACCCAGCCACCTATGGTGTGGAAGTCCTTCCTCACATTGGGTCTGAAGAAGAACCCTATTGGTCGGCATCCCTGGTGTGGAAAAGTCCCCCCCAGGTGTTATTGATGCAAGTAGAGTTTTCCCCATCTATATCTATAAGTACCTATATCTCTATTTCAGCTGCTGCTCATTCTCAGTATTCTCTTGCGACCCATTTTTCTGCTCTCCACAAGTTTAGTATGGGTGGGACCAGTCTGATATGTTTCAGAGATGTTCTCTCTGTAATGGCACAAGATGAGCACAAACCAGCTTGAGAACTGATCGGGGACCCACCGAAGGGCAGGCTATTTCAGCTGCTGCTCGTTCTCAGTATTCTCTTGCGACCCATTTTTTTGCTCTCCACAAGTTTAGAGGGTAATCCAGACGTGGACCCCTTGCTCACGGTGCCTAGGGAGATATCAGCTATGCCTCACTGATGATGCCTAACAAGGCTGAAACGATCGTCTGGGGTTGCTGTATCTCTCGTGCAGAGGGAACTTGCTGGCATTTCGGATCTGGACTTCCCGTATGGGTGGGACCAGTCTGATATGTTTCAGAGATGTTCTCCCTATAATGGCACAAGATGAGCAAAAACAAGCTTGAGAACTGCCCACCGAAGGGCAGGCTATTTCTTTTTTTAATGAATATAATTTTTATTTATTCTTGTGTTACTTACGTGGAGATCGGAGACTCGCAGGTCTCTAAGGTGAGTAGTCATAATTTTTTCCTTGAAAACAACAGTGTATGTTTGGGCTCGCAGGCCCACAATGTTGACGGACTTGCAAGTCCCTATTTTCCAGGTTCACAAGCACCTTCAAGTACATCTTACCATCTGCCATTTGTTTTCCTAATTGGGTTTTGTTTACATGGTTTATACGTTTCATGTACAGTAGCCGGTGGTCTCGTTATGTTCGTGTTGAGGTTCGCAGACCTCGTATGCAGCCTTTATTGTTAGGCGCCGCTCAGGTCCCAAGATTTAGTGTTGGGGTTTATGCCTGTAGCAGATTTATGTGAGTCTCCCCTTAGTGTCCCGGGTGTCCTGTATCTAGGGTACAGTGTACCTGTGTTGAGAGGTTTATGACTCATATTTCGGGGGGGTGTGAATGTAATTTGTTGCTGCCCTCAGGCTATGTTGTGGTTATCCCATCTGCTCGGCCTATGTTTCATTAGGGTCGTGTCTCTTGGAATTTATGGGTTGTGTGTGAACCCGTGTGGGTTTTCCGTTCAGGGCCCTAGTGTCTCCTCTATATGAAATAATTTCTGCTTTGGTTGGGGTATCGTCCTGTGTGGGTCTTTAGAAGAGAGGGGGTGGGGAAGGTCGGGGTTAGGGTGAGGAGGGGGGTGTCTGTAGTCGTTGTCTCCGTCATCTGTCGTCTAGTGGGTGAAGGGCAGGCTATTTCAGCTGCTGCTCGTTCTCAGTATTCTCTTGCGACCCATTTTTTTACCTATATCTCTAGTATAATATCCGTTTTTTGTGGATCTCCTATCCTGCTAAGTATATTTGGTGTATATTTTCTTTTCACGTTTTTAGCACTGACCACTGGTTTGGTTTTTTATACAAATTGTGTTTTTAGCACAAATTGACTATATATAAATCATCTCTGTAGATTTATTTTTAGAAATTGAATCCTGAACAGTATTTTGTCAAAAGTTGGCTAGTGTGGTAATCTATTTATCTTGCGCACCAATTTTGTAGTGTTTTGTAGAAGAATCTAAGAAACATAGAATGTGACGGCAGATAAGAACCATTCAGCCCATCTAGTGTTCCCAATTTTCTAAATACTTTATTTAGTCCCTGGCCTTATCTTATAGTTAGGATAGCCTTATGCATATCCCACGCATGCTTAAACTCCTTTACTGTGTTAACCTCTACCACATCAGCTGGAAGGCTATTCCATGCATCCACTACCCTCTCAGTAAAGTAATACTTCCTGGTATTATTTTTAAACCTTTGTCCCTCTAATTTAAGACTATGTCCTCATGTTGTGGTAGTTTTACTTCTTTTAAGTATAGTCTCCTCCTTTACTGTGTTGATTCGCTTTATGTATTTAAATGTTTCTATCATATCCCCCCTCGTCGTCTTTCCTCAAAGCTATATATGTTAAGTTCCTTTAACCTTTCCTTGGAAGTTTTATCCTGCAATCCATTAACCAGTTTAGTAGCCATTCTCTGAACTCTCTCTAAAAGTTTCAATATCATTCTGGTGATAAGGTCTCCAGTACTGCGTACAATAATCCAAGTGAGGTCTCATCAGTGTTCTGTACTATAGCATGAGCACTTCCCTCTTTCTACTGCTAATACCTCTCCCTATACAACCAAGCATTCTGCTAGCATTTCCTGCTGCCCTATTACATTGTCTGACTACCTTTAAGTCATCAAAAATAATCACCCCTAAATCCCTTTCCTCAGATGTTGAGGTTAGGACTCTATCAAATATTCTGTAGTCTGCCCTTGGGTTTTTATGTCCAAGATGCATTATCTTGCATTTATCCAGATTAAATGCCAGTTGCCCCATCTCTGATCATTTTTCTAGTTTACCTAAATCATTTGCCATTTGGCTTATCCCTCCTGGTACATCAAACCTGTTGCAAATCTTAGTATCATCAGCAAAAAGACATTCCTTATCATCAACACATTCTGCAATATCACTAATAAAAATATTAAAGAGAATGGGTCCAAGTACAGATCCCTGAGGTACCCCACTGGTGACAAGACCATGCTCCAAATATAATCCATTGACCACAACCCTCTATTGCCTGTCACTCAGCAACTGCCTTACCCATTCAACAATATTGAAATCCAAACTCAAAGATTGCAGTTTATTGATAAGCCTTCTATGTGCAACAGTGTCAAAAGTGTTACTGAAATCTAGGTAAGCAATGTCTACTGCACCACCCTGATCTATAATTTTAGTTACCCAATCAAAAAAATCAATAAGATTAGTTTGGCATGATCTCCCTGAAGTAAACCCATGTTGTTTCTGATCTTGAAATCCATGTGTTTTAGATGTTCTACAATCCTATCCTTTAACATGGTTTCCATCACTTTCCCCACTACTGAAGTAAGCCTTACTGGCCTATAGTTGCCCAACTCCTACTACCTTTCTTGTGAATGGGCACAACATTTGCTAACTTCCAGTCTTCTGGGACTACTCCTGTTAACAATGATTGGTTAAATAAATATGTTAAAGGGACACTATAGCCACCTGAACAACTACAGCTTAATGTAGTTGTTCAGGTGAGATCTATAGCTCCCTACAGGCAATCTAATAAAAACACTGTATTTTCATAGAAAATACAGTGTTTTCATTGATTGATAGGAATACCTCCAGTGGCCGTCACTGAGACGGCATCCAGAGGGACTTCCTATCATGTAGGGCCCTAAAAAGGCCTTGTTCACGTCAGACGTATTAAATTACGTCTGACGTGTGCAGGAGAGAGAAGGCACTGTGTGCGCGCCTTCTCTCTCCTGCCTGTCACTCACACACAGCAGCATGGTTTTGCTAGTACACCACTAAGCTCTTTTAATAACTTTGGGTGTATTCCATCAGGTCCCATTGACTTATTTGTCTTTACTTTTGACAGTTGAAATAGAACCTCTTCCTCTGTAAACTCACATGTAACAAATGACTCATTTGTCCTTTTTCCTAACTGAGGCCCCTTTCCTTCATTTTGATCTGTAAATACTGAACAAAAATATTAATTGAGGCAGTCAGCTAGACCTTTATCCTCTTCTAGATACCTTCCTTCTTTTGTTTTTAATCTAACAAATCCTTGTTTCACTTTCCTTTTCTCATTTATGTATCTAAAACATGTTTTGTCCCCTCTTTTTACTGATATTTTCTCTTCTGTGTTTGATTTGGAAGCTCTTATAACTTGCTTAGCCTCTTTTTGCCTAGTGTTATAGATCATTCTGTCTTCCTTACTCTGGGTTTTTATAAGTACTAAATGCTAACTTTTTGTTTTTTACTATTTTGGCCACATCTGCGGAGTACCACAGTGGATTCTTGAATGTTTTGCTTTTACTGACAAGCCTAATGCAATGTTCTGTTGCCTTCATAGGCGTGCGCAGCCTATTGCATTAGGGTGTGCACCCTAAAGCACAAACACACGCCGTGTTTGTGTGTGTGTGTGTGTATGTATCTATATCTATATATATATATATATATGTATATATATATATATATAGATATAGATATATATACACACACACACACACATACACTGCTGTGTGTGCTGTTAGTGTGCTGTGTGCTGTTAGTGTGATGTGTGTGTGAGGGTACTGTTAGTGTGATGTGAGGGTGTTTGTGTGTGTGTGTGTGTGTTTGTGACTGTGCTGTTTGTGTGTATATGTTTGTCCTGTGAGGGTGCTGTTTGTGTGAGTGTCATGTGTGTGTGTTTGTGAGGGTGCTGTTAGTGTGCTGTGTGTGAGGGTGTTGTGTTTTTTTTAAAGGAGAGAGGAACCTGGCGGAGCTTCTGTCTAGAGCTCCCTGGGTCCTCTCCTGCCTCCCTCCATGCTGCTGTGGGCCGGTGAGGTAGATCTTTGGTCTCCCCGCCGGCCCATGGAGGCTTAGAGCAGAGCCGGCACTCAGATAGCGCCGGCTCTGCGTGTGTGTGTGTATATATATATATAAATATATATATATGCGTACACACACACACATACATACACACACACACATTCACAGACATACACTCACAGACACACACACACTCACAAACACACACATACACTCACAGACACACACACACTCACTGACACACATACATACACTCACAGACACACACACACACACACATACATACATACAGTCACAGACACACACACACACACATTCACAGACACACACTCACACAGACACACACATACACTCACAGACACACACATTCACAGACACACACACACAGACACACACACACACTCACACAGACACACACATACATTCAAAGACACACTCACAGACACACTCACTCACACACAGACACACACTCACACACAGACACACACAAGAACAAATTATTACATTTTAATTTTTAAAAAAATGTCCACCCAGCCTCCTACCTGGAGTGCTGGCGTGGACTTTTCCCTGGGGTCCAGTGGGGCGGGTGCCTCTCTGCAGCTCAGCCGCGGCGAGGGAGCTGTCTGCTGTCTGCTCTCTGCTCCCTCTCGCCGCGCGGGCTGTCTGCTGTAGCTGGGAGCCGGAATATGACGTCATATTCCGGCTCCCGGCATCAGCGCGCGGCGAGAGGGAGCAGAGAGCCCAAAGCTCCCTCGCCGCGGCTGAGCTGCAGAGAGGGGAGGGGATACATCACCTCTTGCCCCCCCATGACAGGGGCAAGAGGTGAAACAGGGGACGCTGAGTGCCTGCAGGAACAGCGTTCCTGCTCAAAAAAAGTGCAGGAACGCTGTTCCTGCAGGACTCAAACCATAGGCGTGCCACGGGGATTAGGGTGTGCACAGGCACACCCGGCACACCCCGTGCGCACGCCTATGGTTGCCTTCAGAGTGCAACCTTTAAAGGATCACTATAGGGTTAGGAACACAAACATGTATTCCTGACCCTATAGTGTTAAAACCACCATCTAGCCCCCCTGGATTCCTCATGCCTCCCTAAAAATAGCAAAATCCTATTGTATTCAAGCCTGAAGCTGTAGATCTGCAAGCTGTTTGCCTCAGAAAAACAAGCAGTCTGCTGACATCATCAGAAGTGGTGGCCTGATCCAATCACAATGCTTCCCCATAGGATTGTCTGAGACTGACAAAGAGGCAGATCAGGGGCAGAGCCAGCATGATTCATACACAGCACTGGCCAATTAGCATCTCTTTATAGAGATGATTTGAATCAATGAATCTCTATGAGGAAAGTTAAGTGTCTGCATGCAGAGGGAGGAGATACTGAATGTTTGGATGCATTTTAGGCAGCCATGACCCAGGAATGATCTCTAACAGCCATCTGAGGAGTGGCCAGTGAAGTTATCACTAGGCTGTAATGTAAACACTGCGTTTTCTCTGAAAAGACATTGTTTACAGCAAAATGCCTGAAGGTAATGATTTTGCACACCAGAACAAATTCAATAAGCTGTTTTTGTTCTGGTGACTATAGTGTCCCTTTAAATAATCCCATTTCTCTTGGACTCCATTTAAATTGCTCCAGTCTGATAATGACTCTTTTACACATATTCTAATTTTAGAAAAGTCTGTTTTTTTAAAGTCTAAAACTTTTGTTTTTGTGTGGTGTGACTCAGTCACTGTTCTTATATTAAACCACACTTATGATCACTGAATCCTAAACTTTCACCTACAGTAATATCTGATACCAAATCTCAATTTGTTCACATTAAATCTAGTATGGCCTCCTTACGAGTTGGCTCCTCAACGACTTGTTTTAGAGACAATACCAGTAGGGAGTTTAGAATATGTGTGCTCCTGGCACAAGCAGCTATTTTGGTTTTCCAATTCACATCATGAAGATTCAAGTCACCCATGATGATAACTTCCCCCTTCATTGTCATTTTAGCTATTTCCTCAACAAGTAGATTATCTAACTCTTCTATTTGTCCTGGGGGCCTATAAATCACACCTACATGAGTTACTGTGTGATTACCAAATTCTAACGTAACCCAAACGGACTCTATGTTCACCTCACTAACTTTTATTAGGCTAGATGTTATGCTATCTTTTAGATACAGGACCATCCCTCCCCCTTTCTGGCCTTCCCTGTCTTTTCTATATAAAGAGTGCCCTGGTATTGCTATGTCCCAGTCATTTTTCTCATTATACCATGTCTCAGTAACAGCGACTAAATCTACATTATCAGTTGCCATTATTGCCACAAGTTCATGGATCTTATTCCCTAAACTACGAGCATTTCTAGACATGACTCTAAGCCAGTGCCGGACTGGGAAGAAAATTTGGCCCGGGCCTTTTTTAATTACAGCGGCCCACTAAAAAGGGGCAGATAGGGTGTGTTTTGTCTTTACCAATGACAAACACGCCCCATCACAAAGTGAGCATGTTGGTTCAATGCTCTTCCAGGGCAGACCATGCGCAGAGCTCTGCTGAAGAGCTCTAGCACGAGAAAAAGACCCTGTATTTGTTCAGTGTGTGTGTGTGTTTTTGCTGTGAGTGTCAGGGGTGCAGTGTGTGTGTGTGTGAGTGAGGGTGCTGTGAGTGTCAGGGGTGCAGTGTGTAAGTGAGGGTGCTGTGAGTGTCAGGGGTGCAGTGTGTGTGTGTGTGTGAGGGTGCTGTTAGTGTCAGGGGTGCAGTGTGTGTGTGTGTGTTGTGAGTTTCAGGGGTGCAGTGTGTGTGAGAGAGTGAGGGTGCTGTTAGTGTCAGGGGTGCAGTGTGTGTGTGAGTGTGTTGTGAGTGTCAGGGTTAAAGTGTGTGTGTGAGGGTGCTGTGTCAGGGGTGCAGTGTGTGTGTGTGAGTGAGGGTACTGTGAGTGTCAGGGATGCAGTGTGTGTGTGTGTGTGTGTGAGTGAGGGTGCTGTGAGTGTCAGGGGTGCATTGTGTGTGTGTGAGTGTCATGGATGCAGTGTGTGTGTGTCAGGGGTGCAGTGTGTGTGTGCTGTGAGTGTCATGGGTGCAGTGTGTGTGTGTGTGTGCTGTAAGTGTC